GCGGCGGGCTCCCGCCCTGCGCCACCCGGGCTCCCGCTGCCTCCGAGCCGCGCATTCCTGTGCGGCCGGGGCCCGGCTGGGCGGGGGCGGCGGGCGAGCCCGCAGGGAGGATGAGCCCAGCAGCCCACTGATGCCAGCATGTAAGTGCCCGCTTCCCGCGCTCGGATTCCTCTGAAGGGGCAGGGTCTTTTCCTACGCCCCCTTCCAGCTGGTGGGGAGCGAAACGGCGCCGCTCGTCCGGCGGCCGGATGCACAGGACCCCCAGCCGGTGAGCAGTCATGCACGCTCTCCAAGCCTGCCCTGTGCAGCGCGCTTTCCAGGCAAAGCCCCCACCCCCCAGCCCGGTCCCTTGAGCTGCCTCTTGCTCGGGACCCCGAGAGAAGATAGCTTGTGGTGTCGCGGCTGCCTTCCCAGCACGTCCCTCCGGAGGTAGGATCTCTCTTTTCCTTTCCCTACCGCCGCCCGCAGGGTCCTCTCCTCCTGGGCGGGCACGGACCTCGCGGCAGGGTCTGGCGGCGCCGGGGAGATCCGCCGCGAGTAGCTGGTGCGCCACAGGAGCCGGGCCCGGCCGGCAAGGTGCCGGGGCGAGAGGGAGGACAGGCGGGCAGCGACGCGAGAGTTTCGAGTCCCACCACGTCTCTTTTGTACCCCGGTCTCCTGCTCCCGTGAGCTGGGTTCTTGAGAGCAAGACGGACAGGCAGAGAGAGGGTGTGAGGAACAGACAGAGAGAGGGTGAGAGAGTGACAGAGAGACAGAGAAAGACAGAGAGAGGGTGAGACAGAAAGACTGAGTGAGAGGCAGGCAGTGAGACATACAAAGAGACAGAGACAGAGAGAGAGACTTTAAAGAGAGAGCGAGAGAACAGTTCCAACTTGATCCTAGCCACTATCTTTCATCATCTGGCCGGGCCAGCGATTTGCTCTTTGGTATTGTAACCAACTCATTCATGGGCACGTTTCCAAGTGGGCTTTTCCTTTGCTGACACGTTCATCCTAAAAATCCGCTGGAACTGGAGCCGCTGCAGCACATTTGCACATGGTGATACAGAGCCTAGGACTGGAAGCGAAGGAAAGCGCCAAGAGAAGGGGAAAAAATAGATTTCTTTTACACCTCAAGGTAAAGTAATATGGCCTAAGGAACAAATGCTGGGCTACTATACAGTGCTACAGGGGTTGTCGTGTCCAGCAGGTTAGTAGCATGCCACACCCAGAAAAAAGGGATTTTAAAGGGAAAACCAAGGTGAAGCATTTTCAATTAAAATGCACTTGGTCAGAACCTGTACTCAGGCAATAGGAAAGCATTTTCAAGTTGGATCTTTGGCTGGCTCCTCTTTAAGAAGGATGTTATATGGAGGGGCATCCTACAAAGCAAGGGTCAAGTGGCAGTGTCTAATCAGCGATTCAAGAAGTTAGCAGCTTAGGATTGTTTAAAAAGTACCATTTTGTTAGTGTACCTTAAAATAGTTGCCTTGCACTTGTTGCCTTATAACGCTGGAGTAATTAAGGATGAAAAACTTTTATTTTGTAATTTACATGAGATCTATTATGAAATTGATGTTATCTTCTGTTTAAAAATTAAACTGTCAGCAACATTTCCCTCCCTCCCCCCCTCTTAACAGTTACAGACATGCCAATGATCAAAGAATATCATGGCAATATGCCTAGGGCAAAATCCACTCCAGGGAACTGTGCCAAGGTTTTAAATAAGGAGTACGCAAAGAGATCTCACGTTTTGCAGGTCATTCATACCTAAACCATAGGTTATTGGATTATTTAGGAGTAATATGTATTTTCCCACTGAGTTTTGTGCTTCCAAAAATATGCCAATGTTGCTTTAGCTGGGTCTTGTACATACAGTGAGGGATTTGGTAGTTAGATTTAGCACCACTAGCACTAAATTGGTCTTGAACCATGGTTACGTCACCATTCCATTTATGGTTTAGATAAATTACATGACTATTTTGCTCTTTCAGACTGAATTGTGAATAAGACCATTGTCTCCTGCATCATAGGAAATGGAACTAGCTATGGGCTGGAGAGAATTTGTAGCTAGAGGGTTTAACTGACCATACCACAGAGTGCCTAATATTAATGCCTTACTGCCATTTCACACAAAATTTGTTAATGCTCTTATTAACTTTTGCAAGGCACCATTTGTTATTTCACAAAGTGTTTACAGCTGCCAGGGAATGCAGTTGTTAACAAAGTTGTAATATATAATATTATGTAATATGTAACTAAACGAAGTTACACCCAACTATAATGGGAGTACATCTACAAGAAGATTACTGATAGTAGTCAAACCCACCAGATAACACACTGTTTCAGGTTTGTTGAAATCCCACATTGATTTGCTTGGGGTTGACTGCATATGATTAGATGAAGGTAGAATCGTGTTCACTGTTCAGAAGTTTTTTTCAGTTTACAAGGCAGACCCCACTGAGCTCATGTTCCCAACTGCAGTGTTATAGACTGAACTGGTCTGCAACTCCTCTTTGAAACAGAGTTGTCATATGGATTTTTTTTTTAGGTTTTTTGCGATTTTAATATTTACTTAATTCCTTGGGAGTTTTGCTATGTTGCTATTCCAACAATGATGAATATTAAATGACAACATACAGTGCTTTTTGTTCTTTAAAATATGGATATAAATTTAGAAGGGGTTTTCTCACCACGCAAGACCATTTGCAACCATTCATATGACCCCTTTCATAAGCTATAAAAAATGTATGACTAAGATGTGTCTTAATTTGCATACTGAGTTATTCATTCAGATGCAATCACTGTTGCATACACAGTTTCTTGGACCATTTTGGGCAATTCTGGATTTTAATAAATATTAATAATCAGTAAAATCAACATTTCAATACATGCATTGATATAATGTTAACATTCAAATTTAGCAGTTACTTAGAACTTTAAATCTTTAAAGCTCTTTATAAACATTTATGGGCCTATAATTTGCCTTCAATTCTTACTGCATTTCACAACTGCTTTGTAATTAGGCAAGTCAGAAGAAATAGCTGAAATAAGTAGTTCCTTCTATGCTGAAGTCAGCTGTGGTGTAATGTCCCTAAAGATTTGTTCTTCAAACAATGATGTAGCTACATCTTGGAAGTTCTGTCAGCAGTCAAGTTTCATAGAATCAAATTTCAGTTTTGGCAGGTCCTCATATAAGGTCTCCAATACATGCAAACAAGGCATCTTCTCACTCATTGTGTTTAGCAATCTGCCAGATTTCATGCTTGGTAACATGGATTGTTAACTGTCTCCCACAGGAAACAGTTCTGATTCATGTGTTTGTATCAATGAATGGAAGTATTAAGGTGGCAAACTCCAAGAACATAGTTCTTGCTGTCCACTTCTTTGGTCAGTCTTTTATTTTGTTTCAATGAACTCTTCTTTCTTTCACCTGATATGAGAAAGTGTTTAGGAATTCACAGTATACAAGGTGTATATTCTCTATTGCCCTTAAACAATAGGGAATGTAAGTGAGAAGATAAGTATGTTAATTTTTCTTTCAAGGGAGAGAAAACATGCATTTATATCTCAAGGATATAATTGTCTGACCATTTCTTTGGGAAGAAAGGTTCTATGTTCATTCCATTTTGTCTTGTTCTTGGTTCAGATTATGCATTTCAGCCAAACTTCTGTTGTTATTTACCTGAGTTCTTGGTCTTTCTTTGCATAAATTTTTAACATGGCTGAAGATTAGCAGTTGAATTATAAATTAGCACAACTGGGCTCCAGGTTGTAGTCATTAGTACAACAACCACAATAACAATAAAAAAAATAAGTTTTAGAGTATAGTTTGGTCAGTTTCAAAGGAAGGAGAATCGTGTCTTTTAGAAGTAGGGGTGTAGAGTGTAGCCGTCTTGATCTAAGGACATAGGCACACAAGGTTCTTTGGGTAAATCCGTTATCTTTAGATCTAATACAAGATATCAGATTTACCCAAAGAACCTTGTCTGCCTTTTTAGAAGTAGGTAAACTTTAGAAGAAATGGCGTCTTGCATTTAGTGCAGAATTAGACACTAGAATTTTATTGTTTTTACAGTGTGGCATTGTACCAATGACATTCTATATGTAGCAGTTTCTCCATCTGTAAAATTGGAATAAAATGTAATTTAGTCCATGACAGCTTCAAGAGTATTAATGGTTGTAATGGCACATTGCAGATGTGCAGATACTATGCCTGGGATGCAGGCAATTACACATTTCTCTTCAGTTGAGCAAAATTGAACTGATTGTTCAACAGCCTGATAACTCTTTAAAAAGTTTATTATCAAATACAGCCCAAGAACTCAGAACTCTCCTGGTACAAATGGGAATCTGGACATCAGGTTAACGCCAATTTTACCTAATGGGTGGCTGCTGTTAAAAAATCAGTATCTAATTTATCTATAATAGCAATATCTTTCTGGATTTGGAATAATATATATCATGGTACTATTGTTTATAGTATAGACTGGTAAAGGTTGAGTTTTAAGTGTGCCACTATGTGTATGTGTTTCTGTTGCTTCAGGAGGACAGTTTTTCACCAAAGACAACTTTGAAGGTATTTGCAGATTTAAGAAAATTATTTATTGAATACTTACAGCTCCTAAAGTCTCAGCCTTCTGCTTTCAGAGATGTTGACAGGGATTTACTGAGTTGAAAGACAATAACACTGTTGTTTGATAATCTAGTTATTTTGCTGTGTCTGGCTTCCTCAAAGAGATTCTTGTATTTCAGAGTCCTGAATATGCTGCTCTTGTCTTTAACACTTGCTGTCTTTAAAGAACTAGATTAGTGATTCACAATCAGAGTGCCATGCCACCCTGAGGTGCCTTGAAATCCTTTCAAGGGTGCTGCAAGGTACCAGGCAATGTTAGCCCTGTTATTTGTGCAAACGTGATTCACCAAATGAAACCAGAGATTTCAAACAAGAATCCACCCTGTTAAAAACATTTTGATTTCTTGTGGTGTTTCTGAGTTTGCAGTAGAATATTTTACATAGTCAAAAAATGAGAGAAAACTAAGAGGCAGAATTTTCCAAGGGGTGTCTTGAATCTAGAGAGTTTGAGAACCACTGAACTAAACATTTTTGTAGTCTGATACTTATGTTGAGAATATTTCTGAGAAAAATCTTCCTAGTCACAACAGCTGATCTGCATGAAATGCCATTTACTTGGGTATGTGGTATCTGGTCTAGGGGCTTGGTTTAAAGAACTATTACTTTCTAAATTGTAGTATTAGTTGTGGGTTTTACCCAGTATTTTGTTTTGCTGCACTCTTTTAGGCTTGATTGGGCACATCTACATGTTCATTAATGCACTTTTGCAAATGCACATTAAATTTAATACCTGTGGGCACCTATACACTAGCATGGAGGCTCCTCCAATGCACTGGAATTCCAGCGCATTGGAGCAGACTCATTTAATCGAGTCTGTTGGATCATGGCAGTTACTGCGCTCCAGCATCTTCCTGCATCCTGTGTATCAGAGTCCCCGTGCTTAAA